AAATCATCATGTGTTTATCGGGTCTAATAACCGGAGTAAAAACACAATTTACGAATTTTAACCATCACATTATGACTATGTTGGAGGAATATCGCTTTTTATTTTTACATCATGTTATTCTTTTTTTCTTACCATAATATTTGTTAATCATTATATCTATCATTGTATTTTTAATGCGTTCCATACTCTATGACGTTTTTGATTATGCTTTATGTATGTTACCGTTATGACACCGTTTATTTTTTAAATTTAGAATTTAATCAGTGTTGATAATGGTCAAAATATTGACCGAAACGTTCGCTTTGTATTTGTATTTAAAGAGAACTTATGTTTAATTTTTTTTGTCACCTTTTATTGTAATTCATTATTAGACATTAGATTAAAGAATATTATCTTTATATATGACTTCACTTTCAAACATAATTTGAATTTTTATATTTATTGCTCTTAACAGCCTTTTATCAAATTTATTATAATTTAATAAGAGTCTTGACTTACTACGATTTAATTTATTTTACTATTTCTTGACTGACATAACAAACTTGAATGTAATGAAATTCACGCAAGACAAAACATCAATTCGTTATAACCTTCATTATTCAAGAATGATAAAATGGATAAAAAAATGAGTGTTTAAAACCTTCCACGCCGCTAGAACTTATAGAAGTAGCTGAATCTGTTATGAAGACTTTATTACCGAAAAAATCGAAAGATAAATACATATGAGTAAAAACATACGTTTCATATCAATAATTGTACGTGTATATACATACATCTGTAAGCTAGAAGTAAAGTAAAACTAAAGTTCACCAACAATTTAACAAAATAAAAAAACAAATAGTTTATTTGGCTTTAAGAAAAGGAAAATCGTTATGTCTCTCGATTAACAAAATAATATAAAAATAAATATCTCATTCGATCACTCAATTTAACAATTTTTTGTTTTTGTTTCTCACAAAAAACTAGATCAGTCTAATCTCGTGTCTTGCATAGTCAGAGCTCGATTCTTGTTCTCATTCTCAGTACTTTTCTTATATCCTACGTATTTCGATTTTCGCTAGTCATAAACGATTATGGCACCCTTATCCTTACTCCGAAATAATTCCTAATTTTTCCGAAATTTCGCTTTTCGCCGAATCAATGGACATTATTGATCCCACCGACTTAAGTATATTCCTATCTTCCACTTACACATTATACATTAAAATAATCTAATATTAACAAATTATAAATGTTATAAATCTTATAAATCAAACATGCAAATCTTAAAATATTTAAAATATGTGATATAATAAAAGGCCAACTTAACGAGCTTATATGCTATTAATTGAAAAATTTTATTTATTAATTTACGTCATACTATACAAAAGTTAAGATAAACGTTTCGACTGTACGACAGTCTTTCTCAATATCCTAATAATATGTTAAAAAATTAATTTAGTCATTTCGACATCATAAATAAATACAACAATTATAAGATTATGTGACGAACGCAGTACAAAATTCATGTTTGTTGGCATGAGTTAGCGCGTCAGATGCTGTTATATTATGTAACGACATTTTTTGTCAACGAACATAACACTTTTTTTAAAAAATTATTTCTTTTTACTTAACATAATCACAATGTGTACTTTTTTAAAAAACAAATCGATATCTGTTGTTTTTTAAAAAAGTACACATTGTGATTATGTTAAGTAAAAAGAAATAATTTTTTAAAAAAAGTGTTATGTTCGTTGACAAAAAATGTCGTTACATAATATAACAGCATCTGACGCGCTAACTCATGCCAACAAACATGAATTTTGTACTGCGTTCGTCACATAATCTTATAATTGTTGTATTTATTTATGATGTCGAAATGACTAAATTAATTTTTTAACATATTATTAGGATATTGAGAAAGACTGTCGTACAGTCGAAACGTTTATCTTAACTTTTGTATAGTATGACGTAAATTAATAAATAAAATTTTTCAATTAATAGCATATAAGCTCGTTAAGTTGGCCTTTTATTATATCACATATTTTAATTGTATACGAGCCGAAGTTTAATTTATAAAATATATATACTTAAAATATTTTATTAATAATTAAAATATTAAGTTTTGTTATAATAATTATTATATTAATAATTATTAAATAATAATATAAATAATTAATAAAAATCAGTAGACATAAGCAAGCGCAAAAATAAGAACGTAAAATAATATTTTGACAAATAGTTTATTTTAATATTCTTTGAACGTTTTAGTCAATATTTTGACCATTTTCAGCAAAATTAAATGCAAAAAATTACATTAAAATTGGTAAAAATTAAAAATAAAATTATATATAACCATCTACAATTTTATTTTTCATTTATTTTAATTAATTTTATTTAATTTTTGCATTTAATTGTGCTAAAATGATTAAAATAATAACCAAAACGTTTAAAACATATTAAAATAAACTATTTGTCAAAATATGATTTTTTGTTCTTATTTCTGCGTCTGATCACTTCCATGTATTATTCATATTAATAATATTAAACATATTAATAATATTATTATTTATATTAAACTATTTACATTTATTGAAACCTTGTTATATTATGTTACGTTTTCGTTCGTCCGTTTTTGGGTCAGTATATTTAAATACTTTACCCGGGAGTTGGACGGGTTGTGTGTACTTAGTTTTTAGTCCCGAACAGGAATCTTAGTTTATAAACTTTATAACGCGGATCAGTTTTGGTAATGCGGCGATAGTCGGAATAGTCAGGCTCGACGTTGATAGGAGTTAGTTGGTAAGGAATAGTAGAAGGTTTCTCGATTTGGGCGTTTGGTTCTAAATCTTGGAGTTTTTGCGAGAGGTGAAAGAAATCTTGTTGCAAATCAATCGCTTGTTTTATCTGGTATCTGAGCCGTTTGAGCTGTTTACCTGCCCTTTTCTTCATGAGAATGTTAAATACGACGGAAGCTCCCAAAATAAACTTAGGGTCGCTACGCAAGGCAGCGACCAGTCCGATTCGCTACGCTTTTCGGCAGCGAAAGGGGTAAGCTCGATTTGAGAGTAATGGTAAATAATTTCATACGCCAAGAGCAGTGTTCGTTGGCGCTACACTCTTCGGCAGCGCCGGTTACCAATTCGCTACACTCTTTGTCAGCGAAAAGTCCGTTCCCCGCTCTCGGAGATGTCCTACGTTATATGTAAATTTTAATCAAAACTCGGATCAGATGCCAAATAACTGAGCTTATTGCGGTATTATTAATTACCTTTTATTCTATGAGTGGTTACAAAATTATAAGTCTAAAATACTGGATTAGTCGTAACGTAAGAATAAGGAAACAAAGGATGACAGTCGAAGTTCGCGGAGAACTATAGTTACGACAAAGGTTTCGTTAAGATTTCAACTGCGATGCACAGCGTTTTTCTAGCCCTTTATACTCGAAATTTTACCACCTCCACCTATGAATTTTGAAGGAGGGAGGCCTTTATTTCGGTTTGTTTATAAGATTTTGTTTATAAGGTTTGTTTATAAGGTTTATAAACAACCCTGGCGATCCTGCATATCGGATGTTAGTTTAGGATAGGTCCAGCTGAGAGCGATGAAAATTTGTCAATACGTGACGATAAGCAAATTCTAGCGATCCCGCGTATCGGATGTTAGTTTGAGTTAAGATAAATCTAACCGAGAGCGATGAAAATTTGTCGGTACGTGACAATTAATTATTATATTAAAGCCCACGCTCTCCATCTAACATGCCTCAATACGCCTATTAAGGCGTTGACTATGCTGTTTTCCGTTGAAGCCACGCGCTAATTGGCAAACATTAACAATTTATAGCGTTAAGAATAAAGCTCAAATTAAAAAATGACTTAGAAATTTTCGATTTAGTTTATTGTCCTATATTTAATGGTGTGCTTCGTATACCTTTATTTAATTACATTCTGCATATTGGTACATGTTCAGGCAGGTGTACATTTTTTTTGCGAGATGTTATATTTGTTGAATGAAGCGCGTTTGAACCACGGCCCTGTCCTGTGGCAGCCGCGTGATCGTATTTATTTGAATCCGCTTTCTCGTGTTAATCACGTGAATCTTTGAAGCACGCTCCCGTGGTCTGACGACGGGGATGCTCGAGGATTCAGATCGCTTTGCGACAGTCTGTAAGACGGATCATCAGCGATTATTCGAGTCGATCTCATGCATTAAGCACTACTATTCCGCTCCCGCGAGTCTAAACTTTATTCTGTTAATCAATGTAAGAGTGAATAAACAATAAATTCCGTTGTTGTGTTAGAATTCGTTATACTTAACGCGTAATCATTTTCCATCCTTTGCGACGTCCCAAACCAGTGCCGAATAGCAAACAAACATAATTGGAGTGGAGCGACAAGATCGGAGGTGTCGCAACATTTTTTGGTCTTTCGAGCCGGATTTAGCGGGTGGACGTCGTAAAAAGTCGTGATCTAATCAGTGCACATTGGTGAACATTGACCTTCCATTGGGTGTTGGCGCGCCGTGTATTTGGCGCATAGGACTACCAAGGGCTGTGATAATTATACCACGTAAACAACACGCGTTACACGCCGGGTCGAGCGACCTTGAGAGTAATTACACGTGAATAATCTGCTCTTATCGCGCACGCATTCCTTTGCAAGTAAATAAGTTGTCGTGATTGACGCGAACAATTATATACACGGTGAAATTTACCGCCGTACAGTCAGTGAACTTTAATAATTATTATGGCGACGCTCAAAGAGCTGCTCACGCATCAAGACGTTTTAATCGGACAAATCTCTCGTTCGGTGACAAATTTGAAAAAACTCGGTGCGAGCAATCTCACGGCCGCCAAGGTGAAACATCGCCTCGGTACCTTGGAGAAACTGTGGGAGAAGGCGCAGCTCGTCAACATTCAGCTCCTTTAAGGGGCCTCCAAGGAAGAAAAGGAGCAATTAGACTACTTCAAACAAGGTACATTCCTCCTCGCCGAGGAGGAGTATCTCAACGCTTCCGACTACATGGCCGATCTCATCGAGACGTTCTCCGAAAAGCCCTCCATCCTGGGGCATGCAGGTGATACCAGCTCCGTGCAAACGACAGTTGCGAACAATTCCGCGATGAAACTCGGCCGCATTGATCTTCCAGAATTTTCCGGTGACCGTTTAAAGTGGTCTCATTTTTGCGATATGTTCAAGACTCTCGTGATAAATAATTCGTCACTAAATGGGATCACGTGGTTGCATTACTTGATGTCCAAGCTTAAGGGCGATGCCGCCGCTTTATTGCGTAATTTTAAAATCACCAAAAATAATTTTGAGCCCGCATGGAAGGCCTTGACGGACAAATATGCGAATACGCGTCTGATTATTAATTCTTATTTGCAAACGATCGTTGATCTACCGATTGTAAAAACCGAATCAGCTAGCGCGCTTCGCAATCTACGCGACGTAACGAAATCAGCGATTGAAGCTTTGTCAAACCTCGGGCGTCCGGTCGACAAATGGAGCAATCCCTTGATCTTTCTACTTACTAAAAATTGCCTCCTCGCACTCGTCAGGAGTGGCAGATGGAACTGGGGGATTCGTACGATCCTCCTGAATTAGACACGTTTCTAAAGTTTATTTCAAAGCGAATTAGAGGTCTCGACGACGATAATCCTTTGACTTCAAGCGATATTGTATCCGAAAGGTCGTGTAACTTTAAGGCGAAAATTTATACTGCAAATAACGCGTCCGTACAAGATTCCCGGAAATGCCCGGCTTGCTCGGAAAAACATTTACTCTTTCGATGCAATCAATTCGTCCCCTTGGACATTGATCAACGTTTCGCCCTAGCAAAAAAGTTAAAATGTTGTACGAATTGCTTGCGACTCGGTCATTCCGTCAGCGCGTGTAAAAATCCACAGAAATGCTTCAAATGCGACAAAGCACATCATACGTATTTACATCGCGATAACAAGAGTAATGAGAGCATGCCTTCTTCCGACAATCGCTCCGCTGACGCAAGCGTAGTGAAAACACAAATTACCAGTCCGACAGTGCTCACTGCGTCAACGTGTCTACCGAAAAATTCTACCGTGCTCCTCGCAACCGCGTGGGTGAATTTGCGTACCCGCAAAAATCGAATAGTACGAGTACGCGCGTTACTCGACCAAGGAGCTACTCATACGTTTATCACGGAGACATTGGCTCAATTGCTGCATACATCCCGCCAACGGACGACTTTGCCCGTGACGTGTTTCGGCGAACGATATTCCGGCACGGCGAAAACGATGATACGACTTTCGCTCAAGCCGTGCGTAACAAACGACATTTCTCTCCCAGTCGCGGCCTACGTGTTTAATTGGATCACGTCGTACGGTGCTTCGAAACGTAGCCCAGTCCCTGACTGGCCGCATTTACAAAGACTTGATCTCGCTGATGCTGATCCCACCAATCGGACTCCGATACAGATATTAATCGGAGCGGACCTTTACGGAGCCACATTACTAGATGGCCTTCGAAAAGGTCCGTTCGGCAGTCCCACGGCCCAGTCAACGATCTTTGGTTGGATTGTCACTGGCCCTTCTAGTGATAACGATTCCAATGCATCTGTTTGCGTGGCAACTGTCAATACTATGGACGTTGACCTCAACCAAATTCTCGTGCGATTCTGGGAGACTGAGAAAGTTCTCATGAAACCGAGCTCTACTGCGGACGAGGAGAAATGCGAGCATCATTTCCGTAACACTCACGCGAGAGATGAGAGCGGGCGATACATCGTTCGCCTTCCCTTTAAACAATTTCCTCCACGTATTGGAGATTCACGCTGCATCGCGACTCGATTGTACGACAGACTCGAGAGGCGGTTATCGCGCGATGCTAGTCTCGCTACGTCATACGATGCGTTTTTTCAGAAGTACCTAGACCTAAGACACATGGAGTTGGTCACCGGTCCAGAATTGTCTCACGACCCCGTCGTCTACCTACCGCATCACCCCGTCGTGAAGAGCGAAAGTTTGTCGACTAAATTGAGGATTGTATTTAACGTGTCATGTGCTACATCGAATAAAACGTCCCTCAATGACCATCTTTATACAGGGCCCAAGCTGCAGAATAATCTGATGTCTATACTAATTAAATGGCGACAACATAAATACGTATATCTTGCCGACATTAAAAAAATGTTTAGACAGATATGCATCCCGAGGAGGCCGATTACCAGCGCATTCTGTGGCGACCGTCATCACAGACGTTTCTCCAGTCGTACCGTCTACGTACCGTTACGTATGGCACCGTTCCCACTCTATACCTCGCGATACAAGTATTGCACCAGCTGGTCGAAGATGAAGGTCATCGATTTCCTCTTGCTCGTTCCATTCTGCTACACGAGAATTATGTCGATGACATTTTATTTGGTGCCCACGATATTGACACGGCCAATGCCATGAGAATCCAATTAGTCAATATGCTCGCGGCGGGCGGATTCCGTCTGCGTAAGTAGGCGGCCAACGCTACCGAAATGCTCGAGGATGTGCCGCCTAATGATCGAGCTATCAACATGGATCACTCCTTAGAAGAGGATAACAACATCAAGGTCCTCGGCATTTCATGGTTGCCACGAGATGATTCCTTCTTCTTCTACATATCGCTCCTGCCCACTGCGGTAGCGACCAAGCGCTCGATTCTTTCGGCTATAGCCAGAATTTTCGACCCTCTGGGGTGGGCTACGCCGGTAGTCATTGTTGCTATAAACCTAATGCAAGAGTTGTGGATTAGGACATGCGGCTGGGATGAGCCGCTTCCCGCGGATCTCAGCATACGTTGGGAAACGTATCGCGACTCTCTCCGGTTTCTCACCAAAGTTCGGATACCCCGCTGGACCGGACAATGAGCAGTATCGAATATCACGGTTTTTCTGACGCATCACTTAAAGCCATAAGTGCCGTGGTGTATATGAAGATTACTTGCTCAAATGACGTCAAGGTCATGCTGATTGGAGCCAAAGCCAAAGTGGCGCCAATTAAAACTCTGTCTATTCCGCGTTTGGAGTTAAACGGTGCTGTATTACTTGTCAAGTTGCTACAATACGTTATTGAAACGACACAGCTTTCTACTATTCCAACCTATTGCTAGACTGATTCGACAATCGTTCTCGAAAGCTTAAAAAACATCCCTTCACGTGGGTGACGTTTGTAGCAAATCGAGTGTCGAAAATTCAGACGGAACTACCGTCTGCCACTTGGTACCATGTTCCGACTAACTCAAATTCCGGGGATATTGCATCCCGCGGCATCGCTCCGGCCGATCTATCGTCCTGCGAACTGTGGTGGTCTGGCCCAAGATGGTTGACTCAGTCGTCGACCTTATGGCCTCGTCAGACTCCTAAAAGTTCTGACAAAATTATTCGTGGCATCAACAACGAAACTCGCAAGGCTGCTGTCTCACATCATCGACGTGCCGCAACCGCTTGCACTCGAGGACCTTCCTCATCGAATATCATCGTGGACGCATCTACTTCGGGTAACCGCATATGTCCGTTGTTTTATCGCCTGTGCACGATCGAAACGGTCAATTACCGCGGTCACCGATTCGGTTCGACTTACCGCCGCTGAATTGTCCGAGGCACACATCTTTTGGTGCCAACAAGCTTAATTCAGTCTTTTCGCATCAGAATATAAGGCACTGCGTCGAAAGCAGCCTATATCTTCTTGAAATTCTCTAATAAAATTAACGCCATTCCTCGACAGAAACGACACGATCCGTCTTGGCGGGCGGCTGAAAAGGACCCCTCTTGCATTTTCCGAGCGACATCCAATTATTTTGCCTCGTCATCGTATCAGTGACTTAATCATCGACCATGCTCACAAACAGACGTTACATGGAGGTCCACAATTGACACTCCGGTTTATCCGACAGAACTATTGGATTATCGGAGCAAGAAACTTAGTCAAGTCGGCTATTCATCGCTGTGTCCCGTGCGCTCGTCAACGAGCGTTAATTCCGACGCAAATTATGGGAAGTCTTCCAGCTTCACGTGTCTCGCCATCTCGCCCGTTCACACACGCGGGTATTGACTATGCGGGATCATTTGACGTCCTATGGAAAAAAAGGAAGAAGACATCGTTCACACAAGGCTTACGTGTCCATATTCATTTGCTTGGCGACCCGCGCTATACACCTTGAGTTAGTCTCCGACCTATCTATCGAAGCTTTTCTCGCAGCATTTAAACGCTTTGTCTCGCGGCGTAGCATCCCCAGCGATGTCTACAGTGACAACGGGACCAACTTCCAGGGAGCAGAGAGAGAGTTGGCGGAAACATTCGGGAAAATCATAAAAAATTCTGAGTTTGGCTCGCTTTTAGCTACCGATGGAACTACGTGGCACTTTATACCCCCCGCTTTGCCCCACTTTGGTGGTATTTGGAAACGGGGGTGAAAAGCATGAAACATCATTTAAGGCGCGTAGTGGGCAAGCATACGCTATCGACGGAAAAATTTGCCACCATTCTCTATCAGGTGGAGGCGTGCTTGAACTCGCGACCGATTTCTGCCATGACAAACGAACCCGATAATTTTACGACGTTAACTCCAGGGCATTTTCTTATTGGAGCCCCACTTTCTACCATCCCAGAGGAATCCGTAACGGACGTAGAGAAAAACCGACTTTCACGCTATTTACGCGTTCGGGCAATGCTCGAACATTTTTGGAACGCGTGGTCCCGCGACTACCTGCACACCCTGCAGCAACGACCGAAGTGGATGCGCTCGCTCCCGGAGGTTAAACCAGGAGAACTCGTGCTCTTACGGAATAAATTGTTACCGCCCTCCAAATGGGGTCTTGCGCGTGTTATCTCTGTGCAACCCGGCGACGATGGACATGTCCGTGTTGTTACTATAAAAACTAAAGACTCTGAGTTCGTGAGACCGATCTCGCAAATTTGTCGTCTTCCGATAGATTAGATTATAAAATTTTATCGTACCGTTCCAGATACGAGGCGGGCGGCATGTTCAGGCAGGTGTACATTTTTTTTGCGAGATGTTATATTTGTTGAATGAAGCGCGTTTGAACCACGGCCCTGTCCTGTGACAGCCGCGTGATCGTATTTATTTGAATCCGCTTTCTCGTGTTAATCACGTGAATCTTCGAAGCGCGCTCCCGTGGTCTGACGACGGGGATGCTCGAGGATTCAGATCGTTTTGCGACAGTCTGTAAGACGGATCATCAGCGATTATTCGAGTCGATCTCGTGCATTAAGCACTACTATTCCGCTCCCGCGAGTCTAAACTTTATTCTGTTAATCAATGTAAGAGTGAATAAACAATAAATTCCGTTGTTGTGTTAGAGTTCGTTATACTTAACGCGTAATCATTTTCATTCTTTGCGACGTCCCAAACCCGTGCCGAATAACAAACGAACATAATTGGAGTGGAGCGACAAGATCGGAGGTGTGGCGACAGTACACATTACATGTATAACAAACAGGTATATTCAACGAATGTAATAAATAAATGTTATTTAATAAATTGAAAAATTAATTAAATAATAATAAAAGAATCAATTAAGAATATAAAACTAAATAAATTAAGAGCACAATATAATATTTTTAAAATGCATGTTATTCTTATATAAGAAATATAAAAAAACGTGTATAACGTAGTAGTAGTAGTAGTAGTAGATAGGTAGTGAGTGGTTCCATGACTTGGCCCCCGACGGCACCTAGATCTAGCAAGATCCATTGTGTCTTCTCACTCTTGTCTTTAAACTGGGTGATGTGTACTCAGCCCAGAGTTCTCCACTAGGCTTATGAGTTCCACCACCCTTGTTGTTGTCTAATTCTTGGGATTTAAGAAAACTTTGTCCCCAGATCCTGAATCTCTTTCTAGTCAGAGCCGGACATTGGCACAGAATATGTATGCTGTCCTCTTTTTCCTCCCCGCATAGTCGACACTCCTTCCTGTCTGCGAGTCTGATATTGAATAGGTGGGCTTTGAGTATTGGTGAATGTCCTGTCAACAGTCCTATCCCCATCCTCAATTTCTGCCTATTCAGTGTAAGTAGTTCTTTGGTTCTGTTACCATTTATGTCTTTCATCAGAAATTTGGCCTGTCGGCAGGATTTCAGATTTTCCCACCTGGCCTTGTGTTGTTTGTTTATATTGTCTCTGATGAAGTTCTTGCCCATCGTAAAGGGCACTCCCACCTCCCGACTATCTGGTGCTTTGCTAGCCCTTTCTCTAGCCAGTGAGTCTGCTATTTCGTTTCCCGGTATGCCCTGATGCCCGGGTACCCAGACTAACGTTACTTTGTTTTTTCCGCACAGCTCCTCCAGCGCCAGCATACAGTCCCATACCAAGTATGACTCGGTGGTCGCACCTACCAACGCCAGAAGGGCTGCCCTACTGTCCGTGCAGATATATATTTTCCTGCAATTTGTTCCCTTGGTTAGGATCAGTTCGGCACATCTGAGGATGGCGAGCATCTCTGCCATAAAGACCGTGCAGTCGCCTCCAATTGGAATATTTTCCCTATGGTTTTTCCCAGGTCCATATACTCCTGCTCCAAAGCAATTGTTTATGCCTGACCCGTCCGTGAACCACATGTCCACTTTTGTGTCCATGATCCCGCCCGGTTTCAACCACTCGTTTCTATCAGGTATCCATAATTTAAAATGTTTTACCAGTTGATACTTTCTTGTGGTTCTGTCTTGTTTTCCCTCAATAGGGTACTTTTGGAAAAGACCTAGCCTGGTGTGTACCAGTCCTGTGTTTCTCCATTCACCCTGACATTTCAGGCGGTATGCCGTGGTATTGGCTGATTTTATCACGGCCAAGCCTATTGGCGTAACACTAAGTGCTATTTCAAGCGCCTCTGTGGGTGTGGTTTTTATGGCCCCTACTGCAGCCCTTAGGTAGTAACCTTGCAGGCTTCTAAGTAGTTTCTCCACCTCCCCTTTATTTCTTCTCGTCCACCAGACGACTGACGCGTATAACAGCCGCGGCAGCAGGACCGCCCTGCACAGCCACAATGCTGCACCAGCGCTGATGCCCTACGACTTGCTCATTGCCCTTCTGCACATCTACATGGATGCATAGAACTTTTTCTTTTGCTCTATGAGATGTTTTCCCCAGCTAAGCTTAGGATCTAGAATCAGTCCCAAGTATTTCACCGAGTTCGTAAACGGTATTTCCTTTCCCCAGAGTTTTAACGTCTCTATGGGTTCAGGTTTATATTTTCTGGTGAAGACCATAATATTTGTCTTGCTCGGATTAATCGTTTGACATCTGTTCTCACACCAGTTTTGCACAATCTTTAAGGTATCTTTTGCTTGGTCCCTTAGTGTGTTGAGAAATGGTCCTCTAACCACAATGGCCACGTCATCAGCATAGCCAAAGGTCGAGAAACCTTTCCTCTGTAGCTCTTTTAGCAGGTCGTCTATCACTAGACACCACAACAGAGGAGATAAAACTCCCCTCTGTGGACAGCCTCTCGTTGGTTTTCCTCTGATGGAGATATCTTGGCACTCCACCGTCAAGCATCTGTCCACTAGCATGTCTTCTATCCAGTCCACCAGTGGTTCTTGTACTCCATGTCTGATCAGTGCTTCCCCTACCACCTCGTGTGAAGTGCTATCAAAAGCGCCCTCGATGTCCAGGAAGATTCCGATCGTATAGCCCTTTGCCTCCAGCTGACTCTCAACTTTGTTTATCAGGTGATATAGGGCGGTTTCGGTAGACCTGCCCTCCCTGTAAGCGTACTGAGAGTCGGCTAGAGGTTGTTGTATTAGAGAGTTGGACTTGAGAAATCTGTCCACCAGTCTCTCTAAGGTCTTTAATACAAAGGACATAAGGCTAATTGGTCTATAGTCCTTTGCCCTGACGTGACCGTTCTTGCCAGGTTTAGGTATAAAAACCACCTTGGTTTCTCTCCACTTCTGGGGGACATGTCTAAGAGCAATACTTGCCCTGTAGATTTTTGTCATTGGGCCTAACAAGCTGCTCAGCCCTTTCTGCAGCAGGATCGGGTATATTCCATCAGGTCCTGGAGCCTTTAAAGACTCGAAGGAACCGACCGCCCATTCCACTGCTTGTGGATAGACCACTTTAGCTGCCAGTCCTTATGCCCTTGATTTGTGCACGGTCATGGGTCTCTGCCTGTTGTTGTTGTCTGCTGAGTCTTCCCTAAAGCCTGGGAAATGGATTTCCATAAGGTGCCGTAGGGTCTTTTTCGCAGTTTCTGTGTACCCTCCATTGGGAAGCTTAAGGCAGCCCCATTGTGTTTGGTTTTCTTTGCAGAGTATTCTACTCAGTCTAGATGCTTCAGGAGCACTTTCTATACTTGAGCAAAAACTTCTCCATCCTTTCTTTTTAGCTTTTACTATGGCCTTTTTGTAAATTCTCTGAGATTTCATGTACTCCTCCCAGGATCTCGGTGTATTTACATTTCTAGCCCTATTAAAGAGTCTTCTCCCCTCAGCCCTTAGCTTAGCCAGCTCTTTGCTCCACCATGGTGCTTTGGCTGAAGGATTCTTTGACTCTAATGGGCAGTTCATTTTGTATGAGTATTTAATGGCATTATTTAAGTAGTCTGCCGCTGTTTCCAAATTTTCTATGGTGTGGAATCTAGTGGGTGCTTCCTTGAGTCGACTCCTAAGGTCTTCCTTGTACCCCCTCCAATTTGTTTTCCTAGGATTTCTCTTCTATAACCCTTGGCTCTGTACTTGCTCCATGGTGAAACGGACCTGCCTGTGGTCTGATCCTGAGAGCTCATCAGAGACCCTCCATCCCCTCAACAGATCCAATATTCCGCCAGAGCATATGGTTATATCTATCACTTCCTGTCTTCTAGAGTCCAGGAAGGTAGGTTCTGTTCCTTTATTCAGGATGTGTAGCTCCATACCTACCACAAAGTTGAATAGGCTCTTACCCCTGGGATTTATGTCGGTGCTCCCCCACACCAGGTGGTGCGAGTTGGCATCGCATCCCAGGAGTATTTCTAGCCCTTTCTGCCTTGCATAAGTCGTGAGTTTAATCACGTTTTCATGTGGGGGCAGGTTTTCCAAATCGTAGGGCATGTACACTGACCCTATAATTAGATTCCTGACTATTCCACTGGTCGTCTTTATTTTCAGTCTGATGGCAACAAAGTCACCATCGCTAAATTGTGGCAGTAGACATTCGTCTATTCCTTTTGCTATAATGCACGCTCTCGGTCGGTCCGTGTTTCCGGCCCAGAATAGTTTTCCACAGCTGTCAAGTCCTTTTATATGTCCCTTGATGATCCATGGTTCCTGTATTAAAAATATGTATTTACTTGTGTGCATCACAGCTGCGCACCTGGGTAGTACAGCCGAGGCGCATTTGCTGTGATGCAAGTTAATCTGCGTAAAGTGAATCCGGTCCGCCATATTTATGCTAACGGGTCCGGTGATTTCTCCTTTGCGCCTTTTTTACTGCTTTCTCCAGCAGGCAACCTAATCGTTGCCTGCCCAAGTCCACAGTAGGGTTTAAAGTTGAGAGCTCTTAACGCCCTCAAAACCCCATCCCCAACAAGGGCAGCAAAGTGGGTGCTCGTGGCGTCCCTGCTTTCGCTACCCTTCGCGATTACCCAGTCCGGTGACTGGATGCCTACGTTCTGCTTGTCAAGTAGCTCCAACGCTTCCTTGACAGGTATTGTGGGATCCTTTACGTGCACTACGACTCGATGTCTCTTAGGGAGCTCATCGACCCGCAGTGCACGCAGTTCGATTCCATTGATCTTAATTTCTGAAGTTAGGCTTCTAAGCCACTCCTCAGTTTCCCTATTTGTGCAGTTAAAGACAACTGCCCCATCCCTATCCGAGGTGCCTCTGAAAGTAGGCGCTTTGGTACCCCTTGCTAAGCAAAGAATACGCCTTCTGACCGTTTTTTTCAGAAGCGATGCCTTGTCTTTTTCCAGTCTTTTGTCAGGGTAAGCCAAGGGAACCAGGGCAACCTTTACAAGACCGGAGGTCAATTGGGCAAAAGTCCTTTGGTCAGTTACGACTTTCGGCCTTTTGCCCAACTGAGTGTTACTGGCAGGGCTGGGTGTGCTATGCTCCGATCTGAGTCGCTTTATCGCTCCAGAAGAAGCTTGCTCCCCCGTCCTTGGAGTAACTGTCGAAACAGATGTCAGTTCCGAGGTGGGCTTTGCAGCTTCCCCCTTTGCCTCCATCTGCTTCTGTTTTTTATAGCGTCGTCTTGCCGCTCCGCTATAACGAACCCTAGCGTTTGGTGGCTGGGCCTTATTTGGCTCCGCCCCCGAATTGCTCGGGCTTTCTTCTCCAGGTCGTTCGTCACCTAAGGTGGCCACGCCCTGTAGGACTTCCAAAAAGTTTTCATTTTGGCTTGTACTCATATTTGTTCCCACGAGTACCGCGGCCGCGCGATATCACCTGGGCAGAGCCGCGAATGCCCAGGGCTTGGCTCGATACTCTTGAAGGTCGCCCGGTATCCGAGAGGCACCGTTAGCGACGTAATTCCCCTTACGCCATGCAGCCCTCAGCACGGTTGCACACACTTTAGCTTGTGGAGGTTCCGCTTTGTCCGGCGCACACGGTTGCCATTTCCTGAGCGAGCGGCCCCCGCGCGCCCCCTCAAGCCCCTCCACCCGCCCCAGCAGCCGGACGAACCAGGGGGGCCCAGTCAGTCACACCCCTGAACGGGTGATATCCTTCCGCCCCGCACTCCCCCCACCCCATCAGCCGCGGGACTTCGTCAAGGTGGGAACCCATCGGGGGGGTGTATAACGTAAAAGCAATTAATTAATTATACAATAAGTATCTTCTACATTATGTTTAATTAATACGAATTATTAAGAAAGTTGACCTAAAACACAATTATATTAATAAATCTATAATTAATTACTTCTATATGTCCAAGCTACATCTACAATTGTGGATGTAGAACGGACACGCACCAAAAATGATATTTTACCTCGCTACTGAGTAAATGTAATCTTGTAGTTTCGAACGGTAAAATGGACGTAGAAGCGCTGCTGTATGGGACCAAAAAACTATTGTAAGAAAATCGTCGGGAAATATACCCTAATTACTTTTTCGAGTTTATTCATTACATGTTCTACCGAATTGGATTGAGGATTGTATGGTGACGTGCGTCTTACGTTAAAACCTGCTCTATCCGCGTAATTCGGTCATTTGTCCGTCAGAAACTGACCTCCGTTATTGCTAATGATTTTTTTGAGTTTGGACATTAGCGCTAGATATTTATTTTCTATCGCGTCTATAATGGTGTCAATTTTTTGATTTGTTACCGGAAAACATTTAACAAGTTTCGTAAATTGGCCCTTTCAGGTTTTTCTCTGCTTTGGAAGGTAATGGAAAAGTTAAAAAATAGAGAGGATCAAAGAAAAAATGATTTAAGAATTATTAGCGTGCATATTACTTATTTTGATTTTAATTAACTCAAGGAAATAATTGATTGTTTCTGATTTTGATTCTTTTATACGCTATATTAAAAATCGACATTATCATGCAATTGTTTTTGATGCTAAGAAAAAAAATAACGTGCTTCCTAATTCTTATTGCCATTACACGACGTTTCGGCAACATATCAATCGACTCGTGCTACAAGGCAACCGCATTCTCCAATATCAAAAGTCAGTTATTTGCCAGAGTTGATTAAAATCAAAGCGATAGATACGCATACACTTTGATAATACTTATTTCCTTTTTGCTTTGGTTTTCTATTTTTTATTTTTGTTTAACTCTCAAAATATTTCAATCGAAAAAGTTAATTAAGAATGTAAATGCTAGATTTTTTTCTTTTGGGTACCTCTGTGTATATAACACATGTATAAACATTGTATAATCAAAAAGAAACAAACTTATATCTACAGTTACTATTCATCTTTTAGCACAAGAAATTTATAGTATCTTTAAAAATTACTTTAAAATAGGAACAATATATTTAATTCGACCCAAACTAGCCAAGAAAATTTTTATTTTATTTCCACAACGTTTCGACCATCTGTTTTTGGTCCTTTTTAAGTGAAAAACTAGAATGGTACAATTAATTAAAATTAATAAACATTTTTGATGTTAAACGCAAGAATTAAAAATTTTTTACATACTTCCTTGATAAAAGCGCAGTTAGTTGACACTGTTGTCATGATTATTAAACAATATTATTATCGGACTTTCTTAAAAACATTTGAAAGAACTTTTGAAAGAAAGTAACCGCATCTTGTCGTTATGATGGATCGTCAAAACTGAGTATATAAAATTTTATGCAACCTTTATAATTTTGTCATAGATGTTGTTTAAATTCTCTGTGTCTTTATGTAGGTTAACTGTATTATTAACTTTTTTGATAAAAAACATCTCTGCGATTTCTCTCTTTCTAACATGTTTTTTATTATGTAATATAACGGGTGATACCCAATCAAATTTATGTCCCAACTCTGTTTGCTTATGACCGAATGATTTGTTACATGTAATTTTATATTGTTAGAATGTTCTTTCATACAAGTACGCAAATGTCTTTTTGTTTGAAAATGTCTTCTTTTTTTCACTTTTTTGTCCTTACCCTCTTTCCTTTTTTCAGGTCTACCACTCCCCCCTACTCTTTTTCCTGCTCTCCTTTGGTTCAAAATCCTCTTCAACCTTTTCATATTTTCTTTTCCTTTCCGTCACACCATCTCCTACTTCTCCCTTAACTTTCGCTTCCCTCTCGTTCTTTCTTTCCTCCTTTCTCTCTTCGTTTCCTTCTTCCCACTTCCTATCTTCTCTTTTGACACTCTCCTCTCATTCCTTATCCACACCTCCAATACTTGGATCTTCTACTTTTCTCCTTCTCTCTAACCTCTCTATCTTTCCATTCATCTCTCTCGTCACCAGTCCTTTTCTTCCTGCCAATTCATAGAACACCATTCATGTCTTTTTTGAAGTCTCCTTGATCTCACTCAATTCCCTCGCTTCTTCCGTTCTCCCCATACTTATCCTCC